TGTCTCCCCCTCCCTCTCTCCCGCCTCTTTCCCCATCCCTCCCCCTCTCGCTCCCTCTCTCGCACACATGGAATCACATACCCCGCATGCATATCGCAGCCCGTCCTACAGCAGCTTCGATACGGAGCTCGCCAAGTGGAGAGGGTCGCACCTCGCGGTCCGGGCCGAGATGACGCCCACCTCGCTGGTATGGGCGGCCCGGGTGCCTCCGCGACCATGCGAGCCGTCCCGCCCGCCACACGCTGGCCCCACGAGGCGGGCCCCACCCCACCGCTGCTTCGCGTAGTTTGCTGACGCGCGAGCAACAGGTTGGAGCGGTACTACCACTTGTGTCGTAACGCCCTCCCCCCCGGGGGACGCCACCTCCCTGCACCATCCGTTTCATCCTCCTTTCCTCGTTGCTCCCCCACTTATGCTGTCCCAGCGCATGCCCCCCTCGTGTGGCGGCGACAGAACTGGGTGCGCTCTGATAAACGCACCACCTGACTTCCGCCCGCCGCGCCCCTCGACGTGAACCTGGACGGGCGCGGCGGCGCGTCGAGTAGCCACAGCCATAAGCGATGCAAATCCTCCCCCCACCCTCTCCGACTCGTTTGGATTCTCGGATTGCAGTGTGTCTAGACGTCGTTGAGCCCGCATCCGCCCACCGCCAGGGTGGCCGCCACACTCACGATGCTCAGCGCCGCCTCGAAGTTGTACTCGTCGTCCTCGCCCACCGGGTACAGCGGCGAGTGGTGGTTCACGCTCGACTCGAAGGCGGAGTGGTAGTCGTAGCTCAGGATGTTCATGAAGTCCAAGTACCTGCGAACATGGTCAGTATACCGATAGAGTGCGAAGAACTCGTATTGAAGAGACATTTCCGGGCGAGCCGCGAACCCGCTCGCCCGCGTCGGCGTCTCAACCTCAACACATGGGCTTTGCGGCCCCTGCGAAGGTGGCCGTTGGCCATCTCCTTCCCTATCCCATACTTCGCGGTCAAGTGTCGGCAGGCTTTGGCTGAAGCTGAAATGCACTAGGCGTTCCGGAAACGATTGTAGTTTTGCAGGCCGCTACTCTCACACTCTTCATTCCTAAGTGTTTAATACTTCAACCTGTGCCTGTTTGCTGGTAAAAAATAAAAAGAAGAAAAAGTGCTGCTTCTTATTGAGTGAATACCCCCCTTCTCGCGTAGCCGAACGGTATGCTGATTGGAAGTATATTACAACCAGATAGCCCGTCTCGTTCGGTATACAACCCTGACCGCACCTCACCGCTGAGGCAACAACGTTACGGCGGATGTCAGCAGGGTATGGTATGGTACGGTCTAGAGGCAGGCGCCGCGAGCGGCCGCGAGGGAAGGGAGCGCGG